CTCACAAAAATAACTAATGGAGAGATGAATCAATGTATTTGAACCTCCCCAACTCCTCTTTCTCTATGTCCGTGAAAGTAAGAAAGGCTGGGAAGTGACCCCCAAAAAGGCTGACGTGGGAAGGAGAACAAGGCGTACACAGTTCACCAAACTGATGCTTTTCTCCCAACTCCCCCCACCCTCCCACCACTGCTGCTACTACCACTGATAATTAAGTTATCTGATTGCAAAATTGGAAAAAAGAATTCAGTGTGTTAATAAATAAAGGCAGTTAACTTCTCTGGGTCTCAATTTCCTCATCTTAACAATGTGGGAGTCCTTTTGAAGATTATTGTTTTATAATTCTGTTCTTGAACCTACCCAAACTTTGCAAAATGAGGTAAGTTATGACTGTTCTCTATGTCTAATGAAATAAATTTCACAGCTATTTCTGCCTTCCTTCTTGGAAACTTTAATAAATGATCATGACGTTTAAATCAAAACATTTATATTGCTTGTGGAATTGGTTGATTTGACTATTATTGATGGTTCTTGCTAAGAAGAAAATGCTTTGCAGAATTTACTTACAACGAACCTTTATCAGACCTAGTCCTCTGTGATGAAAACACAATAAGCTGTTTTTTTTTTCTCTTTTCTTTTTTTTTTTTTTTAATTTTATTTTTTATAAACATATATTTTTATCCCCAGGGGTACAGGTCTGTGAATCGCCAGGTTTACACACTTCACAGCACTCATCATAGCACATACCCTCCCCAATGTCCATAATCTCACCCCCCCAACCCCCCTCCCCCCATTAACCCTCAGTTTGTTTTGTGAGATTAAGAGTCACTTATGGTTTGTCTCCCTCCCAATCCCATCTTGTTTCATTTACTCTTCTCCTACCCCCTTAACCCCCCATGTTGCATCTCCTCTCCCTCATATCAGGGAGATCATGTGATAGTTGTCTTTCTCCGATTGACTTATTTCGCTAAGCATGATACCCTCTAGTTCCATCCACGTCGTCGCAAATGGCAAGATTTCATTTCTTTTGATGGCTGCATAGTATTCCATTGTGTATATATACCACATCTTCTTTATCCATTCGTCTGTTGATGGACATCTAGGTTCTTCAATAAGCTGTTTTTGAATTGCAGCACAAGTGAAATATTTTAAGCAGAAAGAAAAAACAATTCATTGGTTGTGGTAATAAAGATGAGGGTAGACTCAGGTATAGGTTAGTTTTGCCCTTCAAAAACAAGACTTCTTTCATCTTAGAAAATCCAAACCTTCAAATTTAGAAGAAATAATTGGGGACATAGAAGAAAAACATGCTTAATATCTATGGAATTTTTGGCAACACTTTTGCGCTCATCACCTTTCTGAAGCATTATTCTATCCTCACTTCCCAGAATTTTGATTTTTTGGCCCAATTTTACTCTATTTGACTGTATATGACATTTTGAGGGAAAAAGTATTTCTTTAAGTGGCGTACAAAGATATTAACTTCTCACATAAAGAAATTTAGACTCTTCTACATGTGCCTGAAAAGCCAAAGAATGTACATAGGAAAACACACATTATTTATATGTCTCCTGCTTTGTAGGTTAAAGAGAGCTCTTGACTATGTCAACAAAATCTGAATTATATTTCAAAGTTACTGATCTTTTATTTTGTCAGTATTTTTTCTCTTTCCTAGTCTATAAATGACACTAGGTCATTTCTTCAGTGGGAAAGAAGAATAGATTAGGAAAGAGAAGGGAGACTGGGGGTGGGGGAGGCTGAGGATGATGAAGTGAAAATTCATAGCTGATTCACCAAAATCCCCAAATTAAACTGGATACAGCCAAAGAACTGCCATAGAAGCAAAGGCAGATGGCCAGATGGCAATGGGAAGGAAAGAGAAAGTTCATGAGCAAAGATTTGCTTAATGAAATTGTAAACTGAAAAGTTTACAGCAGAATCAAGACTGGGAGGGGCTTCTGAGGAAAGCATGGTGCTTTGAACTCTGATAACAACAGAAATATGGGTATTAACAATAAGGTCTCCCGTGTGGGATACCCAGGGCTGCCACATGACCAACAACCTCTGCTTTGGACTGAAGCACAATCCTAAAAGAACAAATATTAATTCATCTTTATGAAATCTGAAGAAGATGGGAGTTTCAAGTTTATGAGTGAGGTCTTCATGTGAGGAGATTCTGACTCACTGTATATGTTGAGAGGATGGGGATGGGGTTAGGGATGGTCAGTCAGTCTGAGCATGTGTAGGGTTCTCGGGTTGGATAGATGGATGGATACATAGATAGATAGATACATGGATAATTACAGAGGTAAAATGACCAAGCTAAAGATAGACACACGTAAGCAAACACAGAAGTAAAATTTGCAGCTATTTAATAAGAAACAAAGGATAAATGGGGTTTCCATAGTTTGAAAAGAATCTTTAACTTAAGAATATGCATAAATGAGTAACTTTTTCCTGGTTATTTACAGAGCATCAACTTACTTTCCTTTTTCATGTGTGTTGATGCCAAGACCATAGGGGATTGCTTCTGAAGAATATATCTGTGAGAGAAAATGCCTGTTATTTGAGAATGTGTCCTAGTAATAACCACAGCTTTATTATTATAATAATTATTATTATTATTTCAAATATGCAGTTTTATTTTCCTAACAGTGCTAAGGAAACACAATGCTCTTTTAAAGTATCATAATTGCAGGAACCCTAGTGCATTCTTGGTCTGAAGGCAAACCACCAAACTTGGATGCAGTCAATATGGAAAACAGCATGGAGGCTCCTCACAAAATTTAAAAATGGAACTACATCCAGATGCTAACAGACACTTAAACAGATGCTCGGCATCACTAGTCGTCAGGGAAATGCAAGTCAAAACCACAATGTGGTATCATCTCATGCCTGTTGAATGGCTAAGATCAACAACACAAGAAACAACAGGTATTGGTGAGGACATGGAGAGGAAGGAACCATGTGCACCATGGAGAATGCAAACTGGTGTAGCCACTGTGGAAAACAGTAAAAATAGAACTACCCTAAGATCCAACAATTGCACTCCTGGATATTTACCCAAAAAACACAAAAATACTAATTCAAAGGGATACGTGCACCCTGATGTTTATAGCAGCATTATCTACAATGGCCAAATTATGGAGACAGCCCAAGTGTCTATCGACTGATGAATGGATAAAGAAGATGTCACACACACACACATACATACACACACACACACACACACACAAAATATGGAATAGTCCTCAGCTATAAAAAAGAATGAAATCTTGCCATTTGCAATGACATGGATAGAGCTAGAGAGTATCATGCTAAAGAAATAAGTCAGAGAAAGACAAGTACTATGTGATTGCACTCATATGTGGAATTTAAGAAACAAAACAAACACAGAGAAAAGAAAAAGGGGAAGGCATCCTAAGAAACAGACTCTTAACTATAGAGAACAAACTGATGGTTACCAGAGGGGAGGTGGGTGGAGGGATGGGTGAAATAGGTGGTGGGGGTTAAGGAGCGCACTTGCTGTGATGAGCCCTGGGTGATGTGTGGAAGTGCTGAATCACTAAATTGCACCCCTGAAAGTAATATTACACTGTATGTTAACTAACTGGAATTTAATAAAAACTTTAAAAGAAAATGGAACTACCCTATGATCCAGCAATTCTACTTCTGGGTATACATCTGAAGAAATTGAGTTCAGGATCCCACACAGGTATCTCTGCTCCCATGCTCATTGCAGCATTACTTACAATAGCCAAGATATGGAAATATTTTAATTGTCCATCAATAGATGAATGGATTAAGAAGATGCAGTGTGTGTGTGTGTGTGTGTGTGTGTGTGTATACACATATATATGTATATATGCACAAACATATACACATATATATGTATATATGCACAGACACATACACATATATACATGTACACTGTGGAATCTGAAAAAGACAAACTCAGAGAAACAGTAGAGTGGTGATTACCAAGGTTTGGGGAGAGGGGAAATTAAGGAGATTTGGGTCAAAGGGTAAAAACTTCCAGTTATAAGATTAACAAGTTTGGGATCTAATGTACAGTATGGTGATCATAGCTAATAAAAATGTATCCTTTATTTGAATGTTACTGAGAATAGATCTGAAATGCTCTCACCACAAAAAAATAGTGATTATGTGATGGGATGAAAGTCATAGCTACTATTATGGTGGGAATCATTTTACAACTTAGAAATGTATCAAATCCATAGTTGTACACATTACACTTACACAAGGTTACTTGCCCATCATATCTCAATAAAGCTGGAGGAAAAAAATAATGTATCATAATGGCCACTGTGCCCAATTAGCTACAAATATGCCAGGTACCCAGGAGTGCTGAGAGCACAGGAACCCAAAGCTGATCTGGGAGGATGGGGCTACCTGCGGGAGTGAGTGTGGTTTGAAGGACACAGGGCACTATAGGACACAACCCAAGTTCTAATCTAATCCCTTCCCTGAACTTGTTGGGTGATCAAGGCGCAAAGTCTCATGGGCAGAATGAGCGTGGCAAACTAGATGTTTGGCGAGGTCCCTTGAAGCACCATCATTATCAAGTCCTGCGAGTTCAACTTCAAACGTCAATGCCACTTACAGCTCCAGAGGGCTGTTTAGGAGTTCGGTCAGTTTTTAGTTAGGTATTAATGATGACCTTTCAGTTCTTTCATTTCTAGTGAACCAGTGGTTTGAGATTTTTACTCTTTAACCACATGACTTTGTGCACGCTGCACAATCTATACCACCGTGGAAAGATGGAAGGAAAGAAGGAAGCGAGGAAAAGGAGGGGAATTTAGTGACTATTATTTTTGCCTTTCAGTCTCTTATTTTACTCCCATTTTATGCAAAATGATCTTGTACCACTTAGAATAAAGACTTTCAGGTTGATGAGTTCAGTTCATAAATATTTTCAATTTACCCCGGAAAGAACATGGCGATTGTTAACAGCCTTCTCCTCCTTCACGTGTTTCTAGATTTGGAAAGAAGAAAGATGACAGGGTTGGCAAGGCTGAGCAGAAGGGCTCTCTGAAGCATGGAGGCCTGAGGGGAGAAGAGCTGGAAAAAATGAAAGAACGTGAAAGGTGAGCAGAAATGCTGAGCTCCTTATTTTGTTTGGGTCCATGACCTGTGCTTAATTGGGTTGTTGCATCCATCAACTGGAGAAATTTTATTTCAAGAAGCATAGAGTTTGATACAGAAGGAAAGGTACCTGATGTAAAAAGGAACCTGCCTTTCTGGGGAATTTTTATTATATTTGGAGAAGAAACTAGCTTTATATTTTTATTATATCAGCACTTATAATTCCAAAATATGCTACTCCAGTTTTGATTCTATCAATGTATATTTTCCCTATGGTTTAAACGATGAGTTGTTTTTTTTTTTTAAATAAAAAGGTCATTTTGATATTGATGTTTAGAACTATCAAATTTCCCATAGTCTGTTCCTAATTTCTGTCAAGCTGTTGTATGCCTTCTTAATTTTATTCTGCTAAATCCATTTGGGGGGGTGTAATTTGAGAAGTGCATGTCCTTCATTTTTAAAAAAGCCAGTGTCTTTTATTAGCCTATCAGCAAGTTGCGAAGTATGTCGCCCATCTGTTAAAGGGCTGGTTTCGTTTACTGAAATAATGACAGTTTGCAAGGGCTGAATTCTCCTGTTTGAGGAGCTCCGTGTTCCATTTGGACAAGAGGCCCTTCACTTATCTTTGAGGTTAACTCTGGTACTTACTCCAGGTCGACGTGTAAATGTCTGATTTTGAAACATGTAATTGAATATTCATTTTTCTCCTGAAAGTTCTTCACCTTCACAGTGAAATGGAACTTGGAGAAAGACCGAGATTGTGACAAAACTAGCATATAATTTTAAGTACTTGATTCTGACTTCACCATGCATGAAGTCACATTTGTCCAACTTGTCACTTGCTCATTAGTGACAATAGTCCTTGTAGCTTTTAGACTCCATTCTTGCACTCATTTTAATACTCTAGTAATGTGTACTAAGAAAATCATACTCATTCATCCTGTTTTCTAGAAAAGAACAGGCTGAGTATCTACTGTTAAACTTTGACTCTTGTCTTGCAGTCTGTTCTGATCCAGAAGGCTGACTTTATCCATAGCAAGGGAAGAAACCCTATTTAGTCCTTTCTCCCTTTAAAGAGGTTGATAAGCATTCAGTTCCAGGGTCAGAGGAGCAGTTAGAAGGAAATCAAGGGGTTGATATTGTTGACTATTCATCTGACAGAGCTGCCCCCGAAACAGGGAAGATGATTCTCCAACATAGCCCATGATTCAGTAATCCTGTAATGTAAAATATAATTTAGGCGAAGATTTTAATGCATATATTGGCAAACACATCAATGTGCTGAGACCACATTATAGATCCTGCTCCCCTGACTTCACTTACAGAGGTATCACATCCTTGCCTTGTCTTCAGGAACCTGGGCTGTTTGCTAGAAGGCAGACTTCATGTTTTTTTGTAGCTCACTACTTGCTTGGGGTTGGGAGGCTTTACTCTTAGTAGCTAGGGAACTGTGGGCCCACTAGAAAATTGATAACCCATAAAATAAGGTGGGTTGTCTTTAAGCAAGAGTTCATTTCCTTTCTGGTGTTGCCTTAAGGAAGCAGGTGCCTGAGGGAGTTTTGTTCTTAAAAGCAGGGCTGTAAATTCACCTCAGCTGGCTATATAGGCATCAGGTCCAATTTTCTTAAAATATGTCTGGTCCGCATATTGAAAGAACTGTACTATTAGCCTCCACTTAGGCCTCTTCCCACACATGAACATGTAAAACACCTGAGATGGGTCTCTTAGAGACAATATTGTCTCAATCATGTGAGAGGGGAAGAAACTGGAGGAGTTGATTTTATGGTTGCGTGTTATAGAATTAATGACCAAGAGCATTTCAGCAGCTCAAGAGTGGAGGGCCACAGAGGGTAGAGGTGGAGGCTCAACATTTGGCATTCCTCTCAACCCTAGAGTCCTTTTCCTTGGCTCTCCATCATCCATAGGAAACCAACTCACAACTCTGAAAGAACTCAGTGAGTGTATTGCTCTTCATGATGTGGCCATGGAAAAAAATAGAATAAAATAAGAAACAGTTATGAATTACCAGCTTGTGAGAAGAATTTGGGGAGCTGGTTGTTAAACCACTGGTAGCTTGACATTGGTCATGGTGGGAGTATTTACACCATAGAAATTGGCAAACCCAACTTGTTGCAGTTAATCAACATACCACGGAGGGTTTACACCAACTCTATTTAGTGTATAATCAGGAAGAAATGATCTAAAATTTAAAGGCTAAATAAGAAAGATTCATCCAAATCATCCAGACCACCAGCATCAAAATGAGTCACGTGGAGAACTTGTTAAAAATAAAAAACCTTGGGTCCCACAACAGACTTGCAGAATCAGAATTTTACGATTTGGAACCCAGGAATCTGTATTTAATAGGCAAGCCCAATATAATTCTTCAGTATCCTAAAGTCTAAGAACATTTGACCTGAAGAAGATTTGGTTGGAATATTAAACTATGAAAAATGACACACAGATTTTTTTTTCCCAAGAGGTTTGAATAAGCCAGTCTAAAAATACTGTCATTTTTCTCATGTGCCTTTTCTGAAGCATCCTACTTTACTGGCATGCTTTTTTTGCCAACAAGAGAGAAACCCTTGCCAGTGCTTACTCATCTAAGAGAATTTGGACTGCTTATCCAGTACCACCCAGGAACACAAAACTTACAAACATAGTAAGTTCATTAATAAAATTTCGGAGACATAAAACATAAAGAAGACTAACATGATCATGCATAATTCCATAACAATTATTAATATTCTTATGACCTTTTTACAATGTATATATTTTCTTTGAAACTTAATACCCATGCTGCATATATAATGTCTCATTTTTTTCCATGGCGTTATATCATGAGCATTTCCCATTGTCAAAAATGTTTTGAAAATATGCCATTTTGATGACAGTCTAATATTCTGTGAGATCAATATACCATTACTTATTTATCGTCTATTGTCAAACATTTAGTCTGTTCCCATTTTTCACTCTTCCAAATAATGCTTTGATGAGCATCCAGATATAAAAGTCCTTATGGATGATTTCTCAAATCATATAGTTCCTTTTGCAAGGTTCAATTCCTTGTAACTATTTTACCCAAGGATTAATTTAAACTCAACTCTAAATTTTAGAATTATATAATCCCTCTTCGTTCCTCTCATTATCTGTTGTATGATTTCCTTATCTCATTTTAATGTACCTACATATTTAATTCTAGATAAGGAATTATTTTGGTGCTGTATATGAATAACCTGTTCATGGCTATAGATATGAAAAGGTAAAAAAAAAAAAAGCCATAAGAGGTCGACTGAATTATAAGATTAAATTGGAGGAATTTGGATTCTAGAACAGTAGTTCTCAGGGAGGAACAATTTTGCTCCCAAAGAAACATTTGGCTGTATCTGGAGATATCTTTGATTGTCACAACTTAGAAGGAGGAACGGGCGTGGGAAGGGAATGGCCAGGTGCTAGGTAGAGGCCAGGAATGCAGCGACACCATCTACAATGCACAAGACAGTCCTGGCCCCTGATAATGAGTCATCTTGCTCAAACCGTCAATAGTGTGTAGGCTGCAAAACTCCTGTTCCAACCTCTGGACTTCACCACAAGTAAGGGTACTCTCCTGGACGTGAGAAGCCCCTTGTCTCATGATATCTGGTGGACAACACAGAGAAATGTATATCAGATGGCGTAGCTCTAGAAGGATTATTGGTTATTCAAGAAACTGTACCCAAAGCTTGCTAATGAATAGTCCATCAATATAAACTTGCAAGAAAAAAAGTTTTTCTTCAAAATGTGTTTTTAACTCGGGCCTGCTGAGCACAGAGTGCTGTTGATCAGATTGTGAATGCCAAAAAGCTACAGGGGTTGATAATGTGTTGATGACAGAATCATCTGGAACAATGGACTGAATCAAACATAAAGAAACTTAATGGGAATAAACGCAAAGTCTTGATTTTAGGTCCAAAACTGAACTGTACAAACACAGGATGTGGAAGGTTTGACTTAATACCAAATATATGAAAAAATTGCCTGATGGTTTTAGTTGAGGGTAAGTTTAGCATGAGTCAACATGAGGATGTGTCTGCCAAAAACTTAATCCAGTCCTAGGCTACATTACTGGAAATTCATGTGCAAAATGAAGGAAGAAACAAAAATTCCTGCTTCACACTACTCGGATCATGCTTGGAATATCCCATTGCCTCTCACATACACAGAATAGCAGCAACTAAATCATGTCTTCTGAAAAATGTTGAAGGACCTGGAAATGCATAGTTCTGCAGAGGTAAGATTTAGTCGATTTCACATGATCAAAGAACTTTCACATAAAAGAGGAATTAAATGCATTTTATACCATCTATTCTCTCTCACTTTCTCTCTTCTTACTCATTTATTTTCTTGAAGATGCTAATGGGGAGTCATTTTAAGAGAGGTAGTCTTCAGCTTCATAGAAGGGAAAACATTCTAACAATTAACGTGTCATTAGAGTGAGTTTGTTGAGACTGAAAAATGTCTAATAAGAAGCTGATGATTACAATGAGAAAGGATTAGTGCATCAGGAAAGTATTGGACCAAAACAGAATTTCATCACCTTCAGTCACTGATATATTACCTTCATTGTCTTACTTATATTTATATATTCAGGTAAGCAAAATATTATATAGATGCAAAGCCACATAAGTTAATGGAATTATCTACATTTACCCGCATACCACGTAAAATCGTGTTGTGTGTCATTAATGCTCCATTTATCCTTAGGTGATCTCTATGATTTTTCCCAGATCTCAGGGTCTAAGAAATAAATATATTCAAGTATAGAAACATTTACTTTGACCTGCTTGGAGAGGCCTTTCTTGAACTTGTCATAGCATTGGTTCATGGCAGTGTATGCACTATTCTTATCTGGGTGGAGAAGCCCAAGTTTCTTGCTCAAAATTGCATGCAAGGCTTTTCTTAATCTCATATTTGATTTCCTGAGCTGAGCATGTGTCCTTTCCTGACACAAGTCAAACAGCCC